GTGGATTCTCTTAGTGGCAGAGGCCCCTTTTTCCTGTTCTAAGTATGTGAAGCCTTATGGCTTACGGGCCAAGGGTGGGAGAAAGTAGCAGGTGGCTAGGTGAGGTTCACCATCTCCTCTCCTGTCGTCTCCTGATGTCCATGTCATTACCTCTGCACCTCCTGCAGTGACTGCACTTCTCTTCAAGATGGAAGAAGCCAACCTTGCAAGCCGAGCGAAGGCCCAGGAGCTGATCCAGGCCACCAACCAGGTGGGCTTCCCTAGGGAAGAGTCCCCACAGACCTTTCCTTTGTCCATTGCCTCTGGTTAGGAGAAGAACTACAAYTCCCAGCAGGCCTTGGGGCAAGGTATTGGCCAGAAGAGGACCATGTTGCCCTAGATGTGTTGGAAAATCAGGGTGGGAACAGTGAGGGTATAAGTTCCTTTTTCCCTTCCACCTCCCTTTACTCTTTGCTCATCTTGTGCAACTCTCCCTGCCTCCCACCCGCCACCTTTTCCCACAGATCYTCAGCCACCGGAAACCACCCTCAGGTTTGGGGGTGGCCCCAGCTCCTGTGCCCACTTCTCTGGGTCTACCACCTGGCCCCTCCAGCTACCTGCTTCCTGGCAGTCTCCCCCTGGGGGGCTGTGGCTCTACCCCACCCACCCCCACTGGGCTGGCCGCTGCATCTGACAAGAGAGAGGGCAGCAGCAGCTCCGAGGGACGAGGGGACACAGATAAGGTGAGCTGGGCCCTGGAGAAGTGTATTAATCAGTTATTAAATAATAAGAAACTAAATTCTTATTAAATAATAAGAAACTAAATTTCCACTAGAATGGATGAATGGGAAAGGGGCTGGCAGGTTTTTAAAGAAAATTGTATGTGTATGTGTAATATATGTATTATATATATATATATATATATATATCACATTAATAGCACATTATGAATATGTGTATGTATGTAAATATACCCACATGTACACATTCACACACAGACAAGTCTGCCACTCAGTTACTTGTTGTTCTCTTGCCCTCCTTCTCTTTGTAAGTGGGAGGGGGTTATTTTCAAAAGAAGTCAAGAAAATGTTCCCAGATAAAGGGAAGAGGAATGGCTGCCAGGCAAATACAGACATGGGTTTTTCAGTTCCTACTCTTGGGGCTCAGAAGCTATTTACCGCTAGGTCAGGTCTAGCTGCATGTCTTTCTCATCCAATAACCCTGCCTACCCTTACCTGTCTAGTAGAGGGTGCCAAAGGGAAAGCCAGATGAAGCCCCATAGAAATCCCCATGTGAGAAACATTGGGGCCATGGTATAGCTGGTCTTTGTCCATGGCATGTGCTATGTGCTGTGGTGCCGGGACAATAGGTCTGTCCTCTCCTGTCTTCTGTTTCCACATTTGAGATAGGAGGAACATTCTCTTTCTTTTGACTATATCTCTTTAGAAACCAACTTTCTGTTGGGCTGGGAAAACCTGAGAAGTCCTTCAATAGAGCTCCCCAGCAGCTCATCAGTTTGCATCCTTGTGGCCATGTCATCCAAGATGTTGCCCCACTGTAGCCATCTATCCCTTCTCTTCCCAGGATCCTTTGCCTGCTCCCATGTGTTTTGGTCCTGGGGCAGAGGCAAGAGTTGTCTGGATCGGGAAAGGGACCTCCCTGGTGGTGTTGCTAAGGGATTGTCTCTTGTGCTTGGTAGGGGGCCTCTGCTGAACAAAATTTGTTCCCCTTTTGGCAATTCCCAGCGACTTTTGCAAATATTTCACCGAGGCAGGGGTGCCACTGTTTCTGCTCTGCTGTGTAGACTTCTAGCCTGTTGGCCAGGGCAGAGCCTCATAGAAGAGGCTCAACATTCTCTCCTATTCTCTAATAATCCAGCTCCCTTTGAGTCCATGCTGTGTCTAGCCTGTGCTGTGTTCTCAGTGAACGTCACCTTAGTCCTTCCCATAGGTACTGCGGTATTTTACAGACAAGCTACAGAGTTTGGTTGCCTACAGGAGTGGTAGACCAGGACTCCAGTGCCAGTGTGCCATCTATACAACCTGAGTTCAGCCACATAYCCCTGCCCTCCAAACACACACTCTGTGCTTCTTGCCAGAATGCTGGCTCCCCCAAGTGCCCCACCATCTTGCCATCCATCAGGAGTCAGGGTAGGGTTATGAAAACCCAATGGGACTCACCACCACCTTGCTGAAGATCTTGTGACATTTTCATACCACAGCCCTTTAATTAAAAGTGGTTGGCTGGGGGCTGGAGCTCAGCGGTAGAGCACTTACCTCACACTTGGGAGGTACTGGGTTTGATCCTCAGCACCATATAAAAAATAAATAATAAATAAATAAATATATTAAATATTTATTTTAATTTATAGATGGACACATATCTTTATTTTATTTTTATGTAGTGCCGAGGATTGAACTCAGTGCCTCACACGTGCTAGGCGAGCGTTCTACCTCTGAGCCACAATCCCAGCCCCAAGATATATATTAAAAAAAAGAAAAAAAAAAAAACTAGGAAAAGTCATGTATATTTAAAAAAAAGAAAGGGTTTGGCTGGGTGCAGTGGTGCATGCCTATAATCCCAAAGGCTCAGGAGGCTGAGACAGGAGGATCATGAATTCAAAGCCAGCCTTGGGGCTGGAGTTGTAGCTCAATGGCAGAGCACTTACTTGCCTTACATGTGTGAGGCACTGGGTTCTATCCTCAGCACCACGTAAAAATAAATAAATAAAAGATATTGTGCCCATCTACAACTAAAAAAAATATTAAAAAAAAAAGCCAGCCTCACCAAAAGTGAGGTGCTAAGCAACTCGGACCCTTTCTCTAAATAAAATACGAAATAGGAATGAGGATGTGGCTCAGTGGTCGAGTGCCCCTGAGTTCAATCCCCAGCACCACCCCCACAAAATTTTTTTTTTTTTTTTTTTTTCTGGTTGTAATTGCTTGGCTAACATTTATCTCCCCACTGGACTGTGAGGGAGGGGATACATGTGTCCTGTTATGGCCAGGCCTGGGACAGCTTAGGGTCCAGTGTAGAGATGCCCAGTGGGCTAGTATGACTGGCAAGGAGAATACAAGGCAGACCCTAAACAGGACTTTCTACCTCCTAGTTCTTCTGTCCAGTGGGCCAGTGTGGTTGGGCCTAGCTAGATGGTCAAGGAGGCTAAGCTGGCATGCAGAGGTGAGTGGAGGCCTGGAGGTTCCACAGGCATTCATTTGGGCCTTGCTGTCCCTTTTCTCCCACYCTGTCACCAATGCACCAGTATCTGAAGAAGCTGCACACACAGGAGCGGGCAGTGGAAGAGGTGAAGCTCGCCATCAAGCCGTACTATCAGAAGAAGGACATTACCAAGGAGGAATATAAGGACATCCTGAGGAAGGCTGTCCACAAGGTGGGGTGCACAGGGGGACAGGTGCTGCAACGAGATCTGTCAGACTGACGTATGCATGTGGGGAGATGGGAATGAGGGGGTGGTTTTGCAGGTGAGGAGGATGACAGGATTTCCTCAGGGCCACCTGGGCTCATTTTGGCAATTGGGGAACCCGTTGTTAGCAGGACCAAGTGTGGGCATTGGTCTAGTCATTGGGGGAGTGGCTCCCATCCCAGGCCCAAACTGTGCTGCTCAGTAGTCCCAGGTAAAGGGGGCTGCAGGGGGCTGGCAGTGACTCCAGGTGCCCCCTGGCTTCCCAGATCTGCCACAGCAAAAGCGGTGAGATCAACCCGGTGAAGGTGAGCAACCTGGTACGGGCCTACGTCCAGCGCTACCGCTACTTCCGCAAACACGGCCGCAAGCCTGGGGATCCTCCAGGGCCCCCCCGGCCGCCCAAGGAGCCAGGGCCCCCTGACAAGGGTGGCCCAGGCCTGCCCCTCCCTCCTCTCTGAGACCCCCCCTTCCCACCACAGCCACTCTTTCTACCCTTCGCCTCTTTGAGATTCTGGACATATTTATGGCTCCATCTCCCTCCTTCCCTCCCCCATCAGTGGGATGATTGGGGGAGGATTGCTGCAGGGAAGAGGAGAGCCCCTGCCCTGCCCAGCTTCCGCCCATCTCCCTTGCCCCAAGCCTGTCCCCACTGCCTCTCCCTTCTGTTCGTGTCCCTCYCCCAATTTCATTAAAGATTTCATGAAATGTTATCCCCATCCCCATTATTTTAGCTTTTTTTCCCCCAGAGACAAATTAGGAGARTTAGGGAGGGATACTCAGGAGTCTTGGCCTATGTGTAAGTGTAGGAAGCAGAGACCAGACTATGTGACCTAGGGCAAGGGYTTGGCCCTCTCTGGGCCTCAGTTTCCCTTTCTGTAAAGTGGGTATTGTGGGATTACAYAAGTCACAAGCAGGTGAAGCATTTAGCATAATACCTAAAAGTTGTTGATCAAAAGTGGTGGTGATAGGAAGGAGGGTCTAGACATGTCCCCAATGTCTTCTGAGCTAAGGGCACCAGGGTGCTTTTTTGGCTCCCTTGGATTTGTCCCCAAATGCAGGATCTTTGCCCCATCGTGTTGAATTTTCTTTTCAGTGGCCATTTTAGGCTGGGGTGATCTAATCCTCTCTCCTGAGAGGGAGACTGAGGCATAAAGTGGGTAGGCCAAATGGTGAGTTGGCTGCTACGGCTTCTGTCATTCCCCTTTCCCAGAAAAGCAGCCCAGCTAGGAGGAGTGGAAGGACCCAGGGTCACTGGGACACACAGGTTTCAGAGACTCCAGGGGTAGGTGCTGAGCCCCTTCACAGTTTTCCATTCTGGCTCTCAACAAAGGGGAGCCCTAGGCCCAGAAAGAAGGGACATCTGCCCAAACTGTTCATAGGCAAGACAGGGCCTTTGGGTGTCCTTCATAGAGTATAGGCTCGGAGATGGCCCTGGAATCTGAACAGTCTGTTTCTCACTTTGTGACCTTTGTCTCTCCAAACTTCAGTGTCTTGGTTTGTAAAATGGGGGTGACTGTCATCTCTTTATCAGGTCCCTAGTAAGAAACAAAGAGGTAATTGAGAGTCAGCTGTCCCCTGCATGGTGCCTGGTCTCCACACATTGAGCATCTTAGTTATGATAACTGCACAGAAAAGTAAACTGAGACCCCAGCAGRAATAACAACCAGCCGAAGGTCAGGGCTGCTCTGGGACATCCAACACCAGAAACACAAGTGATGGCTGTAGCAGGAAAATGGTTTATTGGTCAAAGTGAAGAGTCAGGGTTCAGGCCTCCCCAGTGACCTAGAAATCCATGTCCTCAACCAGGTCCTGTAGGTAGGCCTTGTACTGGTCGGAGGTGAGGGAGAGGGGGTGGCTGTTGGAAATGTGTAGGTCTATGGTATTCTCCAGTGAGGAGGCGCCCCCTGATCGGGCCATGTCCAACAGGGCCCTGAGGCATGTGGGTACCACCTGTGGGATCAGGGGAGAAAGAAGTCAGTGAAAACACCCAACCACTAGACTTCCACTAGGACTTGTCTATCAACTTCTATAGGATCTGGAAAGTTCAAAACAGGCTGTGGGGATGAAGCCAAGCAAAGGATACCCAGAAACTCCTGGGGATGAGGAACTGGTGATGGCAGGGGCACTTAAACAGGAGTTCCTCATAGGGGATTCTGCAAGCTATAGTTCTAAGGAGTACCCTCTTCTCTTTGTAAGACCACCACTCCCAGCCTCAGGAACACAGAATCCAGGCACCTTGACCATCACAAGCCTCTTCACCCATGGCTTGTCCTGCGGCCATGACTCCCCTATGCARAACCACAGGGTGTATCGTGGTGACCGTCTGCTTCCTTCCATGAAGGAAATCAGATCTGAAGATTCAAAATCCTAATTAGGAAAGGGAAAAAGACCCACTATCCACCCAACCGTGCTCAACCCAAGTAATAACCCCACCACCTTCCTGACCCAAGACCCTCTGCCACCGTGACAAGGGGCTGTCAGAGTGGGGACAGTCCCTGCAATGTTAAAATTAAGTGTTCTCCCTCCACTCCCATCAAGGTAGTGCTGGAAGATCGCCCCACCCTCACCCCACCCTGGTACCCCAGGATTCAGGAGGGGAACTAGTCCCAGAGCATGGGAGTCTATGTCCCCAAGGATACTGTGTGGAGTAGAAGGTAGTTGGTGTCGACTGCTCCTTAATCCCCAAATTATGCTGTCCAATATGTAGCCAGCCACCTTGACTATAATATTTAAATTGTTTAATTTAAAATGAAATATAAGATTCCTCAGTTGTACTTGGCTCATTTAGGTGCTCAAAACTCACGTGTGGCTAGTGGATACCATACAGGACAGCACAAAAACAGTTCATTTCCATCACTGTAGAAAGTTATATTGCAGAGTGAAGTCCTAATGGCTTTCTCTTTCCTGTTTATTTGTTTTGTTGTGGTGCTGGGGATTGCCTCAGTATGCTGGGCAAGCTCTCCTCACTGAGGTACACTCCCAGCCCTACCATTGTTTTGTGTGTGCACTATAATGATGATGATGAAAACGGCAGCTAATCTCCTGAACACCTTCTGTGTTTTGGGCCCTGTGCCTTAAACCAGCTCTGGCAATCAGTCCTTGGCCTTGACAAAGCAGACCCGTTCTTTGCCCCAGTGTGCAGAGCAGCAAGGTCTGAAATTAATTCCAAACTGTCTGACCCCAGAGCCTTCAACCACCATGCCCAGCTGCTTTCCATTCAGGGGACTTACGTGCCACAAAGGGCCCCAAGTCGAACACAACTCCATCGTTGTCCTTGGGGACTTCACCATCATGCCCATGCCCATTGTCAGGGAACAGCTCCTCGCCCACAGCCCAGTATGCATGGCTGTGCCCCAGCCGCCGGGCCCAGAGTCTCTGCCCTGACCGCCAGAGTGCCAGTCCCCCTCCTAGGCAGCTTAGTACACGTTTCACATAGCCCACCACTCCTCTGTCTGTCAGGGAAACCCCAGGGTCTGGCAATGTTATTGGCTGTCCAGGTAGTGTCCTGTCCCCAGCTTCTGAGCCCACTAGCCGTAGGCCCCCTGGGCAGAATTTGGTCTTCTGGAAGACTTGGCGGCCCCGGTAGAAGGCAGTCACTTCATACTCCCACTCTGAGCAGCAGCAGCAGCGGAGGACAGAAAGGGGAGAGATGGAGAGGTGGTGAGTGCCCACGGCCCCTGCCACAGCCCCTACCACCCCCAGCTGGTACTCACGTTCTTCAGGTACCAACAGTCGCTTTAGTGGGTTTTCAGGAGGTGCCAGGTTTGGACAGGGCATGGGGTTTTCCAAGTTGGGGCTCAACAAGAGCTGAGAGCAGTGCTCAGGGACCACACCCAAACCTGGGGGGCCCATATCTGGGGCTGGGGCCAAGATCATGTCATTGAGTAACTCCAAGATGTCTTCCTGGAGGAAAAAAGAAGTGGATATTTCAATCGCCTTTTCTTGGACAGGCAGGGGGTGGGCTGGAGGGGAGGAATGGAAGCCTGGGAGGGAGAAGGGTCTAGGGGGGCAGAGCAAGAGAATAAGGGGCAAGAGGGTTGGGTGCATTCTTACCTGGGTGTCTGAGGTACTGCCTCCACCACTGGTGTCTGGAGAGGTATCAACCTGGGAAAAGTCCCCAGTTCCTGTGGAGAAAGGGAGTGAGTAGAAGAGGGAGCGAGAGACCCTCCAGATCCCAGCCCACCATGAAAAGCCGGACTTTGACACACCTGTGCTCACAAACTCATAGATCTTATGAGGGTCATGGGGGTCCTTGCTCCGATCCTCAGCTAAACGCAACACTTCCTTCCGATTCAGGGCAGACCGAAAATTCCTCTTCCAGGTCGGCAGGTCAGGTTTATCCTTCCCAGGAGTGTAGGCACCACTGGCCTCCGCCCAGGCCTAGGGCACCCGTGGAATCAGGGTAGTGAGAAGGATGATTTAGACCCTCACCTTTAGGTTTCTACCCCTGCCTCCTCCAGTCCTAACACCTCCCCCCACAATAAATTCCAATTCCCTAAGGTTCCATCCCCAAATTCTCTGACCCACAAGCTTCTCTCTCATCCCCACATATACCTCCCGATTCCAGCTTTCAACTTCAAAAACCTTGACTTTCTAAGCCAGTCTTTTAGGTCCTACTGGCTGTCTAACTTGACCTTCACTCCCCCAGGGTACCTCTGCGATAACACGGACACTTCACAATGTTTTTATTGGTGTATATTAATTATACAGAATAGTAGGTTTCATTGTGGCACATCCCCTTACCTTCTCATAACCCCCACATCACCCCCAGGGCGCTGGGGATTGAACCCAAGGCTCGGCATGCCAGGCAAGCGCTCTACCGCGGAGCTATATCCCCAGCCTTTTTTGTTTTCTGAGAGAGGCTCTCCCCAAGTTGCCCAGGCTGGCCTCAACCTGCAATCTTCCCTCAACCTGCCAAATCACTGGGATTACAGGCGTGCCACTAGGGCACCCTTTCCCCTCACATTCTTAATGATTTACCACCACTAGTGTGTCAATTTGGTGGTTATAACCCCGTCTTTAGAGCTCCAAGTCTCACGTCTAATATTTCAAGAATTCTGTAACTGAAAGCCCCATCCCCAGTGATCTCTCAACTTGCAGGATGCACTTCCTTAAAGCTCTAATCCCACTTTCCCAGTTCTATTCCCAGAACCTGGCCGGCCTGTTCCATTATTGCTCGCTCTTCACCATCAGACAACCGAGCCTGCTGGTCCCGCCCCTCCCTTCCAACTCCACCCACCATCATTAGCACTACCCGCCCCCGCCGGGAGTTATCTCCGCCTTCTCAGTCGCCCCCTCAGCCTTAAGGCCGGGTGCGGAGCTCTCGGTTTCCAGCGCCCCTGGTGCATGCACCTGAAAGATGCCGAAGTCTTCCTGCTGCGCGTCCTGTCGCAGGCCGTGCTTCCAGGGTATGCGGAAGCGCTTGCGGCTCTCGTCCAGCCAGGCCACACCCTCCAGTTGCCCCAGGTCCAGCTGCGACACCAGCCAGGGCAAGATTCGCGGCTTTTGGGTTCCCATGGTCCGGCCTGCGCGCACAAGGCAGCTCCTGGGCGCGGGCAGCCTCCCGGACCCACCTCCCTCTCACGGGCCACGGTGCAGGCCCTTTACCTGTCTTCTTGGAGTACAAAGAGGAGATAGCTTCCTATCCTTCCATCCTCCAGAAGGCTCCCTTTTTCACCAAGGACTCGCTCCCACTATCAGTGTAGACCCATTTTCCTTCCCAAGCGTGCAGCTGCTCTGACCCAATTCGGCCAGCGTCGACCCTTCTCTTTTCTATTGTAAACCCCTTCCTCACCAATATCATCCAAGGCAGGTTCCCCAACTTTTAGGGTGCAGCTCTCCTTCGCTAGTTATTTCAGTACAGATGTTACTCCTGCATTGACTCCAGTCTAGACCCCCTTCCTCAATTACCCCACAGAAAATACCCCTCTCCATTTCCAGCGCAGAGACTCCATCCAATTCCCCCAATCTGCCTCTATCCTTCAGGGCTCACCAATCACTTTCTGGAGTGGACTCTCTTCTATTTGCAGAATCCACCCTTTTCTCCCCTATGGAACCCAGTGTGGATGCCTCCTCTCCTCTTTCCTCGCTGCTTTTTCTAATTTTTCCATAGCAGATTTTCAACGTCAGCCATTTAGGTCCTTCTTTGTCCCATTCTCCCCAGAGTATTCAGCCTTCCTCTCCTACTATCACTCCTTTCTCGTTCCTCACTACAGAAGGCCACCAATTCTTTCCCTAGCTCTTCCGCGTTACGTACCGCGGAAGGATCGGAGCGTTCGGGTTGCTGCGGTGTAGTTCTTAGACTCCAAGCTGCGCACCCCTCTTCCTGTCAGCTAAGTTTCCAAGCGCAGGAACTTTCTTTTTTATCGATTTCTTGAGATAAAAACAACTATCATTCTTCGGGTAAGAGACCCAAAAGTCAAAGGGGCGGTCCGACTAACCGAGGCATTACACCTCATGCCCTTTTTCGGTTTTCCGGAAAAAGGCATGCTGGGAACGCGATATGCAAATTAGGCGGAGATTCAGTGCCCCGCCCCTTCTACGTTGGGACAGTTACCAAATCGACTCAGTGCGCAGGCGCGGGAAAGTTGAACTACTAAAAGTTTGTGTGTAACGTGAGTGCCTTCGGAGGCGGAGGCTGGGGCGGGGACGGCGACGGCCGCTGGAGGCCGGAACCAGGTAAGCAGGGTTTGTTAAGGACTGGGGTGAGAAGGCAAGAGGAGCGGACAGGGATTCAGGAGCGGACGCGCCAGTCTCTCTCCTCCGACATCCAAGTGCTTGTGGATCCCAGAGATTCCAGCCTCGGGCAATTGGAACTACTACTCCCAGCAGGCTGTGCGGCGGACAGCGCGGAACGCTTGCTACTAAGCCTGCTGGGATTGGTAGTACCCGATCCTCCAATTGCTTCAGAAGCTTAGTGTATGCCTCATTCAGTATACAGGAGTCAGAGCTCTAAACCCCCTTTTTCTTCGGGGCTCCAGAATTCCAAGTCCCTAGACACTTCCTTTCTTAGATCCAAGAATCTAGGCCCCCAGCCACTTCCTTTCCCAGGGTAAAAGAGTCAGGCTTCATCCCTCTTCTCCCTCTGGGGCTCCAAGATCTCAACTCTCCTAGAGGASCCAGGAGTCCAGACCCCCAGCACCCTCCTCCCTTTGGAGATTCATGAGTCATGACTTCCTCTTCATTTAAGACTAGAAGTTTGGGTCTGAGCCTCCACTTCCCGGTGAACCTTGAGTCACTCTCTAGCTCTCTCTCACACAGGTGCCTCCATGGCAGGCTCAGAGGAGCTGGGGCTCCGGGAGGACACGCTGAGGGTTCTAGCTGCCTTCCTCAGGCGGGGTGAGGCTTCTGGGTCCCCCATCCCAACCCCACCCAGGTAAGAGGAGTTGCCGTCCTTAGCCAGGGCCTGCATTTGGTTTGAGGACCTCTGTAACTCTTGTGCCTGGTCTCAGCCCTGTCTCTTCACGTCTGGCTCTATTCCCTGTTCCTGGGGTTGCAAGGAGATGTCCTTTGTAGGAGAAAGGAGATCTGCTTGCAGGAGATCTCTGGGATCACTCTCTCAGGTCCTCCTTCCTAGAAGCCCTGCCCAAGAGGAGCCAACAGACTTCCTGAGTCGCCTTCGAAGATGTCTTCCGTGTCCCTTGAGGCGAGGAGCCGCTCCCTCTGATTCCCCCCGGCCTTGCTCTCTGCCCCTCCGCCCCTGTTATGGTTCAGAGCCTGGTAAGAGATTGCCCCATATCACCTGTGAAAGAGACACAGCCAAAAGCCTTGGTTCCTTAAGTGTAGATAGGATAAGGTACTAGTTTGAGATTACTCAACTAAGAGGGAAGGGTGTGGGATTTCTAGTACCAACCCTAACCATCCTGTCCTCCCCCAACTCCCAGCTGTATTTTTGTCAATTCAGTGGAACTTTTGGTCCCTTTCTAGCTAGTTATTATCCTCCTTCCATGCATCCTTCTCTGATTCCTAGGAAAGCTCCTTTTGTAGCTACAAATATCCTTAATAGAGAGGCAGGAGACCTGGTTTTCAATTACACCTTCCTGGCTATTAGGTTGTATGATTAGGAAAAGTAATTTGTCCTCTYTGCTGTTCAGTTTTTCCAGGGGCAGAGTCAGAATGGGGTAGGGGGTCATTGGACTTGAATAGGAGTGACCAATAGATTGTTTTTCATAGGTGAGCCTGGATACACTAGTAATGGCAGCTGGGAGTACTAGCATGAATAGGAATTTGCAGCTAGGAAGATGAGTGTTGTAATTAATTGATGATGTCTGAACTGGGGAAGGGATAGGGTAATAATATCAAGAATGCCATATATGTCCTTTCCTTGGATGGAGTAATCTTCAAAGTTCAGATCAGGTCTGACATTCTAAGTTCAGTTGGAGGACATGGTAAAGTAGTAAGTATAAGAATTTTGGCATCTATTATCAAGTTTTCTCACTGAGCCTCATTTTACCCCCATTATAAAGTAAAAATCATTAGCCTGGAATAGTGGTGCATGCCTGTATTCTTAGCAGCTTGGGAGGCTGAAGCAGAAGGATTGCAATTTCAAGGCCAGCCTCAACAACTTAGTAAGACCCTCAGCAATTTAGCAAGAACCTGTCTCAAGATAAATAAAAAAGAACTGGGGATGTAGCTCAGTGGTAAAGTGCCCCCTGAGTTCAATCACCATTGCCTCCCCCAAAAGAAGGAAATCATTCCTAACTGACAAGGTAGTCAAAAGAAGAGAATCCATAAATTTCCAATGTCCTGGAGTTCCAGAGTCATTGACTTTTTACTTCAGGTCCAGCTACTCCAGACTTCTATGCCCTGGTGGCCCAGCGGCTGGAACAGCTGGTCCAAGAGCAACTGAGATCTCCCCCTAGCCCAGGTGAGGTACAGAGAAGCCCTGGAGAAGGCTGATGGTGGGAGGACAGCCAGGGTTCTTCCCCGAATTGAATTCTCTTCTGTCCCAGAGTTACAGGGTCCGCCAACCACAGAGAAGGAAGTCCTGCTGCGAAAGCTGGTGACCTTGCTGGAAGAAGAGGCAGAGGTCATCAACCAGAAGGTGATAGGCTTTTTTTTTTTTTTTTTGTGCCTTAATAAGGACAGGAGTTGTGGGATGATGGGACACTGGGATCAGAAGTTAGATCTGCATTTTCTTTGGATGGTCAGGTCGGGTAGAGTGGGTCAGGGGAAGGGTCGAATGACAGTGGTTTTCATTGGCTGTTAGAAAGGCATTGCCTAAATGCAGGGGATGTGGCCATCAGAAACATGATTCAGGAGAGCCAGGCTTAGTGGTACCTTCCTCAATTCTAGTGCTTCAGGATGCTAAAACAGGAAAATCACAAATTTGAGACCAGCCTCAGCCACTTAGTAAGCTCACGTACCCTTGTGAAACCCTGTCTCAAAATAAAAGGGCTGGAGATGTTGGTTCAGTGATTAAGCACCTCAGGGTTCAATCCCCTGTTACCCTCCCCCTCTCCCCAAAAAAGAAACAAGTAAAACAAGGAAACATCATCTAGGAGATTTGGGTCAGATTGGGGAAGTAAGAGAAAGAGCATGTGCACATTAATCTAAAATCTGATTTAGCTGGGCATGGTGATGGACACCTGTAATCCCAGCAACTTGGGAGGTTGAAGACAGAGGATCATATGTTCAAAGCCAGCTTTAGTAACTTAGCCAGAACCTATCTCAAAATTAAAAATTAAAGAAAGAAAGAAAAAAAAGCCAGAGATTTGGCTCAGTGGTTAAGCACTGCTGGTTTAATCCCTGGTGGTGGAGGTGGTGGTAGTGGTGATGAGGAAGTGGTGGTGAGGTGGTGGTGCTGCTGCTACTGCTGCTACTACCTCCACCAATAATAACAATAATATCTGATTCAGTACAGTAGGAATATGGTTTAGAATGTGGGGGGAAATGGACAGCTGGAGGGGATGTGGCTTGTGATTGTATCCTGGAATCTGATTGGCTTGAGAGCCTGGGCAATTTATATGGTTCTGTAACATTAATTATATGGCAGAGGGCGAGAGAAGTTTTTGTAGACCATAGCCTGGCCCACAGGACACTAGAGAAAGATTGCTGAGGTGTGACTAAAACGTTAGCCTTCTGGAAACCCCTAAAGTAGGACTTCACTCTGACTGGCTGTTAAGAACTAGGCAGGGTATGGCTTAGATTCTTAGATTCTGATCTGCTTCTTGGGAGCAGTTTGATCCAAACCATATTATCTGGCTTATGATTGGTTTACATGATGGATGGGGCTGTGGCTTAGTGTTAGCATCTAGAACTGGCCCAAATTAGGAAACCACCCCCCCAGCCCCATGTTGGCTAACTGTAGAATGCACTAAGGCCTTCCCTGCCTCTTCCCCTCTGCATCCCACAGCTGGCCTCGGACCCAGCCCTGCGCCGCAAGCTGGCCCGCCTGTCTGCAGGCTCTTTCGCCCGCCTAGTGGAGCTCTTCTCTAGCCGGGAGGGCAGCCCTTGCCCTAGCCGCACAAGCCCCTCGTTTCCGTGCCCTGGGCCCCCGCCACCTTCCCCGGAGCCCCTGGCTCGCCTGGCTCTGGCTATGGAGCTAAGCCGGCGTGTGGCTCGACTTGGGGGCACCCTGGCTGGACTCAGTGTGGAGCACGTGCACAGCTTCGCGCCCTGGATCCAGGCCCAAGGGGGATGGGTGAGCCACCAAAGTCTCTCTGGGCTTAACTTTACCCAATTGTAATGTAATGGGGGAGGGTATATTGGGTTCCTTGAGACTGCACAGCTCCTAGCTCTACCATTATTTCATACAATGTTTTTTGAGCAGCTTCTGTACACCAGGCACTGTGGTGATGAGTGCAGATGCTATGCCTGGCTTAAACCACTGATGCGGTTGTGTGATTATGTGGTTACCATCTGTCTCTCCAGTGGTGCCTGTCTGAATGCCCTTCCCTGGAGAACCCCTCCCCTGACTGGCTTTCCTGCTCCTAATGGTGTGCTCCCATATCATCCCCAGTGAGGCCTGTCTTGGTTCTCATTTATTTATTCATTTTTTATTTATTTAATTTTATTTTTGTGGGCTGGAAGTTGAACACAGTGCCTCATGCATGCTAGGCAAGTGCTGTACCACTGAGCCACATCCCCACCCTATGACCTGCATTTAAAATCACAGCTACCTCCCCTCATCCCTAGTCTTCTTCCCCCTTTGTGTCTTGACTTGTCCTTCCACAGCACTCAGTACCTTTAACACATGCTGGAATGGATTTGCATGTACTTTCTTCTAGATTTTTGTCTGTTGTCTTCCCCTTTCTCTCTAACATATCTGTTTCAGAAGGCCAGGACTCTAACCTTATATTTGCTCACAGATTTATCTCCAGTGCTGTCTTAGAATGGGTTTGGGGTCTGGCATGTTGGCAGTGTGATCTTGTCAGCTGTCCCCATCTGCTTGAGCACCAGTATGTCCCCTGGATCAGTAAGCATCATCTCAGTTACTTGTCTTGTGGGTCACTATGGTGATTC